AAGTTGTGCGACCGGTAGACGTTGAAATTTTTTTTTATTTGTTTCTCTTATTTTTCCAATTATTTAATTATTTTTTGGATATTTTTACGTATTTTTGAACCAAAAAATATCTCCTCTTCACCTGTTCAAAAAAATTTAATTGTCTGGTTAATTTACTTTATTATATAAATATTTCGCTAAACGATTTCTACTAGATTTAGATGTGGGGAAATGACATCACGCCCCACCTGTTTTTAATACCGGGCCAATACACAAACATGGCCGCGTCTACTGATTTGTAGGAAATCGGTGGATTAAGCGATTTAAATTTTGTTATCATTTGTGTAATATCATTATTTGGCGGCAGAAAATTTGCAGATTTATTATTTTTAGTATTCTTTCTCTGAAATCAAGTACTTTTTCTAACCTTGTCTTTCCCTTTAAGGATTTGCAAAGAAGTAACACCAACTTACATTATAATATGGTGCATAGAAGCGTATGAATTTACATCTTGTGCAAAATCATAGCGACGTCTTATAAGTATGTCAATTTTTCCCGTTTTTTTTCGGGAGAGGAAAAGCCATCTACGTATTTTCGAGTAATGTTTGATAGCTTAACAGAACTTTTTTATTTAAACTAAGTATGATAAAAAAATTAACTTTTTAAAAAAAAAATTTAATTATGTTAAAAATTTTTTTTAAAAAATAAAAATAAAAAAGCCTTTTGTTTTTTTTCCATATAAAATTTAAGGTTATTTTTATATTTTTACAAAAAACATTTATAAAAGTTTTTTTTGCCCCGTTAGTGAAAAAAATAAAAATTAATATAAAATTTTTTAGTTGATTATTTTTTAAAAAATTTGGGCTTTGGCTTAAAATTCGAAAATTATAAAACACATGAAAAGAATTTCCCCCTATGCAAAGATATCAAATTTTGTAAACTTTTTCAAAGGACAATTTAAACCAGTGCTAGATATCTAATAGAAATACAATGCTTTTTTAAAAACATACCTTTTTTAAAAAATATTTTAACACTTTATTTTACAAATAAATAAAAATCAAAATATTGGGGGAAAATATCAACACTATCAAATATCAATATTAGTTTCAAAAACATAAAAAAAGGTATGTAAGACTTTTTATCTTTTTTTAAATTTTTTAAATATGCCCCCCTTTGATCGTCTCTGAAAAAAACTGAGTCAGGTCGTAAACCTGATGAAAGAGCGCCATGTTGTCATCTTTGTGTTTTTGTCCGATTTAATTGCACTACAAAAAAAATTTCCCATAACTGGTTTTGAAAAATTCCTGGAAAAAAGAGTTTTTTAAAGTTTAAATAAAAATAAAAAGATATTCAAAACCCAGTCATGGAAATTTTTTCTTTTAAAAAGAAATTTTTATTATGTGCGGGGGAAATCTCATTTATATATTTTGCTATTTTTTAAAAAACCCCTGCGTGTTTATCTTCCCCTCAAACAAAAATACTTTTAAACAAACTTTTTTTAATCCAAAAATGTTTTTCAAAAAATCGTTTCATTTTTTGGGCGGATTTTCATTTTTTTAATCGATACTAAAAACATAATCTTTTGGGGAATAGCAATCAAAGATTTTTTAAGCCTGGGCTTTGGGCATAATGTTTTTGGGCAGGGGTACAAATGTTGGTTTTATTGTTTTAAATTTCTTTTTCCGTTCATTGAAAAAGTAGTTTAAAAATTTTAAAGAAACAGGTGATTTTTTCCATTTTTACTTTAGATGGGAAAAATAAAAAAATTTTAAATTATAAAAAAAAGTTTTCAGTATATATTACAATTGCTTATAAAAATATTCTCGAATAGATTAAACATGCAGCAAAAAACAATTTTAAAAAATCAAAGCACAAAAGGGCCCGCAAAGGTTTTAAAAAACAACCTAAACCAAACCAGATTTTTTCAAATCCTTATTTTTTTCAAAAATTTAAAATTTAAAATTTAAATTATCAACCCGTGATGCCCTAATTTTCCCTGCCCAGGGTAACATCCTTATTTTATTTTTCAGAAAGTGTAAAAACAAATTTTCATTAAGGCGATCAAAAATTTAATCCAAAAGTTTTACGGAGATAGCCCCCGCAATCTTCATTGTTTAAAAAATGATTTCATCCATTAAGAATTTTATTTGAATATTTTAAACCGGAAATTTTTGGGGAATTTTTTAAAAATTTACTTTAAATAAATCTTCCACAATGGGGAAATTTATTTTTTTCTTCCCTGAAAAGGGTTTTAAAATTTAATACCCCCTGTATTTGCAATTTTTTCTGATCTCTCCTTAATTTTTGGTTCGTGAAATTAAAAAGGGAAGAAAACCCGCTTCGGGGAGTTCCGTGACGAATTTGGGCGCTTTTTGTAAATTGATATCAGGGTTTTGGAATTTCTTCCTTTTGTTTTTTGGCCCTGCAAAACCCCCCCCCAAAAAAAAACAAAAAAAAAAAAAAACCCCCAAAAAAAAATGCTAGGTCGATACGGATTTAAATGCAATTCCCCGACTCAGAAAAACTTTACCCAAATTTAAATTTCAAAGGAATGCGGGAACAAAAAATTTTAAATTTTAAAAAAAACTGTATTTACATATGAAAATAGGTGATAAAATTGATACTAGAAAATAATCTTTTAAAAAAATTTAAAAGGGGGAAAAATACAAAAAAGAAAAAAAAAATCGATGGTTTTTTCATACATAATACCTAAAAAATCCCCTTTTAAACTGGGTTTAAAGTTTCAGCCCAAAAAATACTCATAGCCTATAAATTTGAAGCACCGAAAAAATTTCCCCCAAAAAAAAGGGAATTTTTTTTCCCCCTAAAAAAAATTATAAAACCCCAATTGGGTTTGACTTTTGTTTGCCCAAAACTTTAGAAAAAAATTAATAAATAAAATATTTACTTTTATTTGTAATATTTTTTGGGTCAATTCGAATACTTTTAAATAATGATTATCACAAGTTATTAAGAATTGTTTGGGCGAAATTTTCCCATTTCAAAAAATGAAAAAAATCTATTCGGAAAAGTTATATACATTATGTGTCGGCAAATTCATTTTTTTTAATCATTTTTGAAAAATTTGGGGGCGATAACTTTAACGGGGAAAAAACAAAAAAAAATCACTTTTTGTGTATACAAATTTAAAGAAAATTAAAAATTCGTTTTTTTTGTTATATCTAGACAAGTTTTTTAAAAATTTTTCCCTGAAAAAAGCGAAATTGACAACTGCTCTGGGATAAAAAAAAACTTGTTTCAAAAAAGTTTAATAAAAAAATATTTTTCTCCTTTCTCTGTTGATATAGATGGCGCTCATTTTTTTTCCCAAAATTTCTTTTGGATTTAAACCCTTAAAATGCCGAAATTGACTTTGACACTTTTGAAAGGGTTAGATTTAGTCTGTAAACCAGTTTTGGGGAATATCCCTAATCAGAATTCTTAATAACGGTTCCATGTAAATTTAGTTTTTTTATCCAAAACAAGCCTTTGGGTGGGTTCCGGGTAGGGAAAAGAAATAAAGTTAAAGAAACGTTTGTGTATGCAAGGCACTCGAAAAGGTCTGCCCCCTTTGATAAAGGGAGGTCGTGGGGGACCCGGGAGAAATTTTTCAAATAGAAAAAGATACCCTTTTTTTTTGGATTCTTTACTTCACGTGTATAATATTTTTGCAATTTGGGCAAGACCTAAACCCTTTTTTTCCCAAATTTTGGCCCGGAAATGTTTTTTTTAAATTCTGAAATTAATTATACAATAAACAAATGACGGTTTCGAATACCAGAAAAGGTTTAATCTTTTTTCAGAAGTTTTGGGAAAAAGATAACCCGGGTTATTTATTAAACCTGATAAACCCAATGAAAAAATTTTTTTTGATTTTGGGTGGAAAGGTTTTTAACCCGAAATTTAAAAATGTTTTTGGTTTGTAAAAAATTTTTTGGTTTTGAAATATAACTGAGAAAAAATTTAAAAATTAAACTTTTAAAATTGGGTTGGGATACATTCTAAAAATGGAACAAAACAGGGGGTTTAAAAAAAGGGGCTAAATTTTGGTTTTGGGTTTTGCAAGAATCGTTTTTTAATCGAAGATAAGAGAAAAAAATGTATTTTCTCATTCGAAAATACCTCTCTTTTTTAGGGTGGGCTATATGGAACTGTAAATGGGTGTTTTTAATGAGGTTTTTTTGGGTTTGTGATTACTTTAGATATTTAGACCCGGGTATTAAAAATGTTTTTTTCATATACAACCCATGAAAAAAAAAAAAAAACCCCAAAAATTATTTAAAAAGTAGTAAAAAACCAAAAATTTCTTTAAAGACTTTTTTTGCAGTTTTCCGCCCCTTTTTATCGACTGATAAAAAAATGAGGTGTCAATTTTTTTAAGTTTTTTAAGTTACAAAAACCTTAAAATTAAATTTGGGGTTGGGGGTTTAAATACAGTTTTTAAAGCGAGATATCACCCCCAAATTTTTTACAAAATTTGTTTAAAATTTTGGGAAACTGTGTAAAAACTAGTTTTTTAAAATATTCGAATCGTTTTAGAAGTTTTTTTTGGGGCATCGATTGAGCAAAATTGAAAATTTTACAAGGAAAAAAAATTTAACCTTAATTTTTTAATTTTAAACCCCAAAACTTAAAATTTTTTTAACTTTTCATATCCGAAAAGGAAAAATGGGGTCTAAGCATAAAAAAAAATTTCCACCGGCAAATTTCCCCAAAAACATTGAAATCTTGATGAAATTTTTTAAAAATTTTAAAGGTAAACCATATAATCATTCACCTTTTAAAAAAAAGAAATTTTTGAATTGAGATGTTTATTTTGCACATTTTAAGAAAAAAATCTTCAAAAGGGAAAATTTACCGTGAAAAAAATTTAAAAGAGTTTTATGATCAAAACTTTTAAATATTGGCATACTTTAAAAGTACATTCCCTCAAATCCTCTCGGAATCTAGCCCCTTTTTTAAATTGGGGGTTTTTGCAGCACTTTACCCCCAAAGATCTAAGCATGCAATGTTAAACGAATTTATAACAGAGTGTGTATATTGTTCTGTCTAAAGATAACTTTGTCCTTATATTGTATGTCAATATTAGAGCTTGGATTACTGTCTACCGTACATTCAAATATAAGATCTTCGGACTCATTTACTGTTACAGCTGACATTGAGACCAGAGCCCCTTTTACAGAAAATGAGCGTATCGTTGACATATCTGAAAATAGAATTGTTGATTAACCTTAAAACTGTGTAACTTGAAATACATTTTTTAAAAGTGTACGAGTATGACATGCTACTTTTATACAAAAAACAAACAATATTTATATCACAGTAGTTATATATAACACAGATTTGAATAAACTTTCCCAACATTCAACTAGTCCAATTAGTTATGAATCGTTATTACTGTGAAGGATTATATGTTGACCTATATAAAATCTTACGACAATGCTTTTATAGAAAAATATTTATACAATTTTAAAATATGGTTAAATCTTTACTGCCTTCAAACAACTAAATTTCGAAGTGGAAGTAATTCCATACCTCAAATGCATTTGATACATCATGGGTAATCTGACCCAAATTTCACTTGTTTCTTTTTCTGTGATACATCTTAACAAACAAAATCACACACTATCTTACTTATTCAAAATGTCATCAGTTATAAACATTTAATGTTGCTGACATGTTCTTATTATATACTTTCTGTGACAATAGTGCAGTGATCAATTAAAATATCTAATAAGCATTAACTACTTTAAGCGGGTAGGTGTCTCAGAGTAGTAAAATGTGCATTCTGACCTGAACTTGAACCTAAGACCCCCGAAATACCATTTTTTCAGCTGTACCAACTAAGCTTCCCTGCCCCTAATATATATCATTACCTATCAATAAATAGTTCTATAGCGTGACATAGATATGACAATCACCAAAATTTTATGATACAAGACCAAATATCTTCCTTAATATACATTATGTAAAAAAGCAAAAAAGCTTACACAGGACATTTAGGTGAAAAGATCCACTATTTATTCCAAGTTCTTCTACACTTCCACTTTGTCTCAGTATGTTTTGCACGGTACATTTATACATCATGTCATCATACTTGGTAACATTCTGTATGTACAATGTTTGTTTATCCCATGTTCTGTTATCACCATCCCTTATCCATTTGAATCTTGTATCAGTAGGATTTCCTTTTGTTACAGGACACGGTAAGGTCAGGTTAGCTCCCTCAACAATGTCTTTATCGGTCATTCGTACCGTTGGCGCATCTATAGGTATAATAAATATTTGTGTAAAAATTGACATTGATAAAAATGATAAATCATGAACAGCTTTATTAGAAATGTCACTGAACGTATCAAAATGCCTAAATGTATCTACAGAAGATTAGATATATAATTATCAACTTACATCAAAGATAGAATACGATTTTAAAAATTAGTTTAATCAATATGATAAAAATATTTGGATTCTATTTAAATATATAATATGATAAAAAAGATAACACATTTCCAATTACTATTGCATAGAAATAAAATACAATTGTTAAACATTAAGTACATAATAAATTGAAATTGAAGCTTTTTGTATCATTCCCAGTTGTTGGCCCTCCAAATGTTGGTTCCATTCTGTTGGTTGCAAATATTGTGTATGTTCCACCTTGTTGTCTTTTTACTTCATCTACAACTAGTATGTTGGAGGTTGAAGAAACATGTCCAGACCAAGACGTCGTTGCCGCTGGCTTACCATCAACTTCACACGTTAATGTAAATGAGCTGTTTTCTTTTATACCAATAGTGCTATTAACAGCTACACTAGTGGAAGAAGCGTTGTAACGAAGCTTGCAGTCTTTAATCTTTGGTGGATCTGCAGAACATTTGATTTTATGTTGAAGTTTCATAAATTTAAATGAATAGCAGTAAATGTCCGTCATCGTAAGCATGGTCAGTAACGTTACAACCAATTCAGTTTTAGCTTACCAAACATAAAATGATAAAATATATCTGTATCGTCTGGCAATTCATAATTACTATATCACTTTTAAAATTATTTTAATTCAAAGTTATATTTAAGATATTGTATAGGCTCAATTAAATCAATTAAACGGACGAATTTACTTTGTAAATAAACACTGTTTACGAATTACGAAAAGAATTACCATCATTAAATTATTAAATATTTGAGGTTTCAAGCATTTGAATAGATTGCTTTCCTTCTTCCTGAACATATCTTAAATTAAAAAGAAACCCACAAAAACCCGACTTTAATACGATGTAAAAAAAATTCTTTACTTACATAGAATAAATAAAAATTAAGGATAAAGTAGATTTCTCATTTAGACCAGTTAGATATTGCGCTACATTTTTTTATGTTTAGAATTAAAAACAACAACAACATAAAATATTCACATTTAAGCAGTTAAGTGAATGATGTAATCAAACTTTTTGTGGGCTCTTTGCAAACGTAACCTAACAGATGTGCATTTGTCAATTAGGTGTGGGCGATTAAAAAATAACATATGAAACGTACATAAAACCTGTACAGTTATGTAAACTGTCTGATTCTCAGCTAACAGATGTGAAGATTGACACGCACAGTAAGAATCTAAACCTCGTGTTGCATTCCAGGTTACTGTCTTTGTGGTATTCGCTTCACTTGTTGTTGACGACCCGTTATCGAAGCAATTCCACATTAAAGTTGCTTCAGGATTGCTTTCCCCTATATAACATGACAGCGAGCCTTGATTATTTTCTATCACTTTGTATGTACTGCCGTTAGTAAAGCCTTGTATAACTGGAGGGCCATCTGGAGAATCTGTAAATTATGAATTGTATCACAATAAATTTATGTATTTGAGTATTGACTTAAATAATTATGTGATAACTAAAGTAATAGAAATTTATAATAATATAATTATATATAGCTAAACTAATAGTATCTTATAATCTTATTGTTATTTCAATTATTGAATTCACAATACAAATATCCATTATAGTTATCAAATTACTCAACAACAAATGTATTTGTAATTGAGGGATGACAGAAAGAATTCGTCATCTTCTTTTTCGTCTGCAGAATCTTCATAGAAACCTTCAAATTTGCTAGGAATTAGCAGTCCCATATGGTTCTGTTTACAACAAAACAAACAAAGCAGTAGCTTAAATATCTTATCAAATCTTGAATGAAATCGTATGTTAAGCTTCAAAAGTTTACATGTTGAACAACATCGAATAATAATGTTCTTTGGACATAAACTTGATATAATTATTAGATATATCTGCCTAGTGATAACAAATTTCCATAAACATATATAAGCGATACCAAACTCCCTAATAACCTGTTTTGTTTTCTAAATAATTGTCTTATAATTCTTAACTTTATGACAAAAACACAGAAAATAAGATTCATACTTACAAAGGATATTTAGCTCAAATGAATCTGACTGAAGTGGTGAACTACGAGGATTGTTAACAGCATTACAATAAATATGAGAACCATTATCTGTCTTCAATGGTATATATGATATAGCAC